CTATTATGACGGTTTTACAAAACATACAGCGCACAGCGGTCGTATTTCGGTTATTATTAGCGGTTATTATTTCCTTCACTTTTATGTTAAGACATATCCACAGGGAAATACTACCGCAAACGGAAAAGGCCCATGTCCCGCGTTAATAAAAATGAGCTAATTGGAAGAAATATAATAAAGTGAATAGATGTTATGTTGTAGATTAACGAAAGCGGCCACGCTAGCTAAATAATAACTATATTAAATTGTGTTTCCTCCGACTTCACACAGGCAATTTGTGTATCTTGATAACAGCACCACCTATCGGATCCTATAGTCAATCCAAACCATCCAATTTTCGAGTTTTAGCGAGACTAACGGACAGCAACTGACTTCTATATAAAATAATATAGAAACAAAAAGTTATAAGTCACGAGTAAATTAAAAGTTATGTACAAACGACTTCAATATAAAGTATTAAGAATAACTCAAAAACTATTGGTCAAACCTTGATAAATTTATATGGAACCACATGTGAAGCGCCAGCTTTCAAATAAAAAAAATCATCGAAATCGGTTCAACCAGTAAAAAGTTATGAGGTAACACACATAAAAAAACATACAGTCGAATTTAGTACTGACTACTTTTTGAAGTCGGTACAAAATACAAAACTGTGACCACTTCGGACCAAGTAAGTGTATTGACGAGTTTACTATTGCTCATTACAAGTCACAAGATGTCGCAGGGCGTTTTAAAAAAAAACAGTTTTGGAAGATTGTTCTTGTATCAATTTTTTGTAAAAAAAGCGACAGTAGCCTATATCAAAGCGCGGGCCGCCATCTCAAAAGGTTCTGGGTTCTAATTCGCCATTCAACTACTGTCGTGTATACTCCTAACAGAATGTTTTTAAAGGGAATAATTGTAATACAAATACCATTGCTAGTATTTTTTTTTGTTATAATGAATAAAATAATCAATTATTACTGCTTATTGAAATTTGCAAGTTGACGTTGTGACCAGGATTAAAAAAGGAATGCTTCGGTGGTTTGGTCGTGTAGAAAGAATGAACGAGGAAAGAGTGACAAAGCAAATTTATGTTTCAAAAGTGAACGGCAGAGTCGGGAAGGGACGTCCTAAACGAAGATTTATCGATCAAATCGGCGATACATTAACAATGGGCCAGATTAGGAGTACCTTTAACCGACGAGCGTGTATGCGTAGATATATGGATGTAAAGGAGGTGAGAGAGGTGTGCCAGGATCGCGCCAAATGGAAGTCCGTAGTCTGTGCCTACCCCTCTGGGTGACAGGCGTGAGTGTTTTGTGTGTGAAATATGCTACTGAACAAAGGCGCCACAGATTGCCACCTAGTTGCCATGCTTAGCATGCGCGTTGACAACGCCAGTTTTTATTATTTTGAGTGTTTTTCACGAAGATGCTGCTGCCCATCTCCTGTTTCATAACCCTCTGTTGCTTCTTACTACATCCGAGAGTTGATAATATGGGCCATTAGTGGTGAAGTACACCACTACATCACAACAATTACATTACAAGTATTACATAACATGATCATCATCATTACAGCACTTCATAAGTCATGACTTCATAAGACCGGAAGACGGTCCTGAGCCACTTGCATCCATCGACTTTCTGCATATCTTACCACGTCGTCACTCCATCTAGTGGGGGCCGCACTACACTTCGCTCATAGTACGAGGCTGCCACTCGAGTACCTTTCTTACCCACAGGTTGACGGTTCTTCCACCTACATAGTAAGCAGCTTACTAATCCGTTGAGCTATGCTATATTTATTTATTTATTTATTCATTCATAGGACACCACCAGTGCACACATTATTACATTTAATTGAACGTGAACTTAATCTAGGGACTGATTTGTGCACCCTTATAGGTGACACAGCATTACAAAATAATATAAAATTAAGACAGGGCAGAGCTACAATAGCTTATAAAGAAATATGTCACAAAAAAAACACTTAAAGATAATGTATAACCAAGACAATAAAAAAAAAACATGCACATAACTAAGCAGCAGCTGTAGGGAACATGGATATTAAATTATAATTAAATTATTCACAAATTATTTATAATAGTGATCTATTACATTTTTCCTATATTTAGGGAAAGTATCATGAAAAATATCGACAATAGGCAACACACCACAGAGTGAATTATAGGTGTCACACATTCGCGGTACCGGGGCGTATGATCCCATGTTAGTCCTGGATTGAGGAGTGTGTAACAGTTTTGTTATTGGACGACGAGGGATATTGTATGGTGCATTTAGGGAGAAATATTGTAATAGTTCACAACAGGCAGTCTGTCCGTTTACTATTTTATATAATACCAGCAGGTCGTGAATTTTTCTCCTACTATTCAGGGAAGGTATTTCAAAAAATGCTAATTTTGGTTCGTAGGGACACCTATGTGAAATTCCACTACATATGAAGGCAAGATGTCTTGTAAAAGCTCTCTGAATACTTTCTATTCTTTGGGAGTGCACAGCGTATGTTGGGTTCCATATTGTACTCGCATATTCCAGTTGGCTCCTTACTAGGGTGTTAAAAAGTAAGATTTTAGTGCTTATTTGAAAGCCTCTGGTATTGCGTTTAAGGAAACCCAGCATCTGCGCAGCTTTCTTTACAATCCTATTAATATGAGGAACGTAGGTGAGTTTCATGTCCAACATAACACCTAGATCTCTTATTTCACCAACTTCTGTGAGCATAGTTCCTTTAAGACTATATGAAGTAGTGCAAGGCTTCTTTTTCTTAGTAAACTTGATATAGAAACATTTTTTTGGATTTAACATCATAAAGTTTTCCTTACACCATTCTTCCAGTCGGTCAAGATCGTCTTGAAGAATAAAGAGTCAAATTTAGTTGATATCACTCTCGAGAGCTTCAGGTCGTCTGCAAACAAGGAAACGTAGCTTGCCTTTAGTGTACTCGTGACATCATTTATAAAGAGCGAGAACAATATTGGTCCCAGATGGGAACCCTGAGGTACGCCAAATTCTGCGTTGTACGTTTGCGATTCATAACCCCCCACCGCCACCAACTGTGTTCTTTTCTCTAGGTATGAAGTAAGCCAAGCAAGTAATGACCCGTGAATTCCTGTGGCTTCAAGTTTGCTCAGTAACAGGGCATGGTTTACCTAATCAAAGGCGCTGGAAAAATTAGTGTAAATGACGTCCACTTGGCATCCTTTGTCAAACTCGCGCGAAATGTGTGAAATAAATGAGATAAGGTTCGTTTCGGTAGAACGGCCCTTTCGAAAACCGTGTTGAAAATCACTTATATTGGCTTCAATGTGATGAGTTAGGAATGGACATACAGTCGCCTCAAACAATTTTGAAAAAGTAGATAGTATAGAGATGGGTCTGTAATTTGTTACTGACGATACACTCTTTTTATGTATTGGTATGACCCGAGCATTTTTCCATATTGTAGGGAATTTGCCTACTAATAAAGAATAATTAAAAATTAAAAATAACGGATAAGCAAGATATGCAACACAATTCTTAATAAAAACTGGAGGAATGCCATCTGGTCCCGCACCCTTGTAAATATCGAGGTTTTTTATATGTTGTATAATGACCTCTCTAGAAACAAAGAGATGACTGAGAGATCCGATGGTGTTTTGCTCAGTAAATGTCAAGAGTTTAGGAGTTATAGGTGTATTTATATAGACTGAGGAAAAGTGTCTTGCGAACAGGCTAGCAATTTCAGGCCAGGTCATCGCGCTATCATCCTCAAGAAACATCTGGGCAGGTATTTCAGAGTTTCTCTTTCGCTTATCTTTTAAATATCGCCAAAATGCTTTTGGGTTTTCACGGATATTGTATTCCAAATTAGCTCTATATTCCTTGTGACATTTGTGCAATAGTTTATGACAGCGATTACGAACTATATCATACTCTAGCTTATCTCTGGAGTTCTTATATTTATAGTATCTCCGCCTTAGTTTGTCTTGCTCAGATCTCAGCTTTATTAACATCGGAGTGAACCACGAAGGGTGACGAGACTTATGTAGCTTGCGTTTTGCAACACATTCTTGAATAATGTTATACAATTTGTGGTAAAAAATTTGAACCTTTTCGTCAACGTCAACACATTTAGAAAACGTTTCATCCCAGTCGATTAAGCTTAAATTGGAGTTAATTTTTTGGTAATTAGCTTTAAAGTAGTTGAAATCAATGTGAGTTTTAGTTTGTAAATAATTTAAGTTAGTATGGGGTAAACTTAGTAATAAATTAGGGTGTTTCGGGTCTAGTTTGCTAATGAGATCCAGGGGTTTGCTAACGCGAGCATTCTTAATTGTACTTAACGCTAAATCCAATATTCTATTATCACAGTTACTTCAATTATTAAACTGAAATAGGCTATTAGCACAGATAAAATCTATTAAAGCGCATCCTAAGCTATTGTTTATATAGTTATTAGGCTTCATAAAATTACAATTTTTTTGACTGGACCAGGAAATATGACCTAGGTTGAAATCACCCAATATTATGACATCATCTACACAATTAAAAATATTACTACTATTGTTTAAAAATTTTGAAAGTAAATCTAAAGTGACTGGAGGAGGAAGGTAGACAGCACCCAAAGCAATTTTAAAAATAGTGTTCTTAGTTTTAATATTAAGGATGACCCACAGATCTTCGCAGTCAGATTCCCAGCTTGGAACTCGAATGGACTGAATGTCATTGGATACTGCGATCATTACTCCTCCGCCATCGGACTTATGACTAGAAGTAGAGCACCGATCTCTACGATAAACACAATATTTATTATCTATGAATTCACTATTATTCACACCTGTATTTAGCCAGATTTCTGTGAAAATAAGGATTTTATAATTTGTTTGTAGGATATTTACCAAAACATCGTTAGTTTTGGTTCTAAGACCTCTTAAATTTTGATAATATATGTCCATAAAAATATTTGTCTAGGTCGCTTATACGTTGAAAACAAGAAGATATAATACACAAAAAAACCTACTTCACGTTGTTTAGACAGTCCATATTCCGAATAAGTAAGGCCTGGCTAAAATCATCCTTTCGCATGTATATACGCCCGTTGCGTACCCAAACATACTTGTATCCTAATTCTCTTTTCTTCTTACGTGCGGCGGCATGCAGGGATTTATTGCTGGGTGAAAGATGTTCTGCAATAAATAGAGTGCTTGGTCCTTCAAAGCCTAAGTGTGAAGTGCTGAGCTTGTTGGTTGGGTTCCTTTTGTTGTAAGTAGCGACCGCGGCCAACAATGCGTCACGCTGGCGCAGGCTGCGCAGCTTTATTACTACTGTGCGGGCTCGATCAGTTTTTGGGTTGATCTTTGCGACCCTTGTAACATGCAGTATGTCTTCTACCAACAGTTCATGGGCAGCATACTTAGCTACTTGTGTTATAATATTTACCAAATTTTCAGATTTTCTTTCGGGGATTCCATTTACGAGTATTTCCACATTACTCTCACGTAATACTTGTTCAAGAGTCCCCATCCTGTTTGAAAGATCGCTTACTGTGTACTGTACGCTAGCATTTTCTGTTAGGAGATTCTTTATCGTTGCCGTTTTTTCCTCCATCTCTTTCTTTATGTTTTCGAAACAACTATTAAAGAAGTTCAACGAATCATTAAAATTAGAGATTTCTTGTTTGATGCTTGAGAACTCCTCTGAAACCAAGTCTCTTATCGTGGTTTTAAGCACATGGGAGATCTCTTGTCTCAAAATTTCACGCAAACAATTTTCAGTGACATAAGCCGCAGAACTGCCTATTGCTTCAGCTTCCACTGTATTTTCATGAGATATATCAGGCGACGGCGAACGGTTTGATTTGGTAGCAACCACCTTCGTGTGGCGTGTTATATTTTCGTAAGATGCGGGCGACGCCGCGAGCTCGTCAGTATGTACGTGATCGGGATCACCGCGGCCCCACTAGCAGTGACTCCGCCTGAGCTGCCACTCCGCACAGGTGTATTGGTGTTATCCCTAGTTCGTGGTTTCCTGCATACACAAGCCGGGCATGTTCAATTAGCCTTCCATTCCTTTGTGAGCATGCTGAATTTTTCATCATCTATATTCACACACACAGTGTGATAATTATCTTTGCACTGACCGCATTGCATGGACGCAATATTTTTCTCCAAGATGCGACAACATCCAGCGCATTTCTTTTTAGGAGACATTTCAATAATTTTGTTATCATACACGGACGGGTAAATAAACAAAAAACACCCGGTTAGCAAGCGGTCCGTTGATAGTGCACAATGCTTTGGCTACAAAAGACTGCGAGAAGAAGGTCTTAAGCGCCGGGCAGATCGTGGCGCTTACGCGTTGCGTTGAATCACTACGTCCAAACACTTGTGATAGAATATTTTTTTAAATAATAACTCAATAACCTTCACTGTTTGTGTTATAATACACAAAATAACTTAGTCAGTGCAAATTAATATTGACTACACAATAGCATATAGCAAATAAAATAAAAGTTTATATCACTCTCAAATCTTTTAAAGCTATTTTATCTAATTTTCTAGTTAAGAACGAAACGTAACACTGCTTGCTTGTCTTGAACGTATACTTGTATTCGGTTATTCTGGTTCTATAGTGGATATTACGCTTTCACATAGATAAATCCCGAGCATACATTACATAATAACTACCTTGAAATTATATTTTGTACATTAGAACAAAAATACAGTTTACGTTTCAAAACATTTTATGTCGAGAAATGAATGAAACTCCGATGAAATGGAAAATGAGCCGTCTTGAGGAAAATCTTGAATCTTGATGAAACCTGCATGTCTTGGATAAATAAAAAATCGAAGACTTGTGAAGGCTGCACTCGCTGTTTATTTCATAATCTTCAGTTTCTTATCTATCATATATCGTTCAGTTTAATTCAGCATAGAGATCTTTACTGAGCTCTGTTATCCATGTAGTGAAAGGCTTAAAGTTGTTGCATTTTTGTGATCAGCACGACGTGATTACGTTAGAGGATCATAAGTCCATTCAGAGAAGCATCCATTAACTATCGGGTGGACTCTGTATTTGCTTATCTCACTTACACTATAAAAGGTGCACGTTATGTTGGCATTTGGTTAAACACATTATCCAATAAAAAACAATACCAGATGAATGAATGAATGAATTGTATCATTATTTAGCAGATGTTATTCCCCACTCTAAATTGATACGTTGACTAGTTCTTGCTATTAGTAATTAGTTCTGAGGAAATCTAGTTCAGTATGAAATTTCTATATCAAATTTCTATATTGTAGTTGAATTTTATTACACGTACAAATGTAAGGAATGCTAAGTAGAGTAGTTGTCCTGTTCAATAAACGGGTCACAACTCTGTTACAAACGTGAGTATATAGACCGATTTAAAGCCTTGAGCTAGCTTGCCGGCAACTAAATGTTTAATTTCTTCACATGTTGAAAGCGTTCTTGGTACGAAATCGCTAGGCGAACTAATTTACGGTCTTAATATAACCGAGTTGCATGTAACCCTTCTGGTAGAATATGTACTGCTACATTGCAGGGCACACAGCAAGACTTCGAGTTTTAATAGTATATAATAATTATTTATTTGACAAAAATACCGTACCTATACCGTTACAGCATATTAAAGTAGACTGCTGAACACAGGTCTCCCCTATAAATTGTCTCATAGGGAGGATATTTGCCATAGTTGCCACGAATATCAAGCGGATTGCAAACCGCAGTTTTGTTTTTATTTTAGACGTTATTAGGAAGACGTTGCTGCCCTTCTCCTGATTTATTTCCCTCTATCGCCTCTTACGAAACCCACAAGATGATATGAGGTAGTGTATATTCTTACAGAACCCGTTCGCGTTACTTGAACTACTAGAATGATACTAATATAAAATTACATGGAATAATGTAAATATAATTTATGTTGTACAGATAAAATCAAAAATATGTGAATCCACAGGGATTTGGGTTTGGGGACAGCCCCAAAACTAGATAAAACCTGTTTCAAGATAAAGTTCTAATATTATTTAAACGTATTAGATTGAATGGAGCAATGTTAGATACTAAATTAATTTAATGAATTACAAATTCACTTGTAAATGCTCTTGCAATGTTTTACGGCACTACCCATAAAATTATATCTATTTAAGAAATGCATAAAGTTGCTCTCCCCTTTTTCACTAAACGGCTAAAGGAAGAGACAGGTATATAAATAATTATTACCTAACTTAAGTTCCTACTTTGGCAACTTAAGGAGTCAAGGCAAAATAAACCGAGTAAAATAAGAGGAAGCCTAAACCGATAAACTAAAATAAAGAAAATAAATGCCTGTAAAAGGCCCATTGCTTGACATAGAACTGCTTTCATTCAGAGATTCAGAATGTTCCAGTGAAGGGTCCGTTACACAGATCCAATGCGAGCCAGCCACGCAATTTACGCAAAACAGCCGGTTTCTTCGATACGTTTTTCTGAATTGCTAAGATTAGTAAGTAAACTATTGAGTAGCTTTAAAAGTTAAAAGAAGGACAGAGACGTTTAAAATAAATTTGTTTTATTAAGGATACAATTAAATAAATCAAAACTAAGCTATAAATAAAATACACAATAAAAATAAAATATCTTCATGCACACAACAATTAAACAAACAGCCGGCCAAGAGCGAGTCGGACTCAGGCATGATGAGTTCTGTACCATCGTAAAACACGTTTCTAGTACGGGAGTCCCCTTTAATTTTTCTTGACTCACTTAGAATTTTACGTAACTAACTGTCTTAGAAAATTTTTTTTGGTATCATGTTTTATTGATAACTGTTATTTAAGTTATTTTTTGGCAAAGAATAACTTAAATAACACCGACTAATCCGACAAAAAAAAACTCGTAAACAAAATCGCGACTCATCTGTGAACAGTACTTGGCTCCACTTTTCCAAATCAAAATTCACATGTTTATGTGCGCATATAAGTCTGCTGACACGATGCTGCCTGCTAAACTCTGGGTAATATGTAGGTCTTCCAGCCATGATATCAGTTTCATTAAGGCGTCGCCTGATAGTATTGTTACTTACATGCAATTCTCGAACTTCAGAAAGGCGATTCCTGATATCAATAGCAGTCATGGCCCTGTTACGTAGTATTGATAGGGTAAGGAGTAAGGTCTTTGCCGAACTGTTTCGCCAAAATGGAAACTGGCCGAAATTAAACACAAATACCGGTTTTATGTGCCGGTCAGTATATATAAACCCAATTAATTTATTTTGTTGTGATTGTATTAATTTATGTTGTTAAGTGGATGTGATGGACGAAGTTAGCATTGCACAAATATATACTAGGTGCTTTTTCGGAAGATGATATTGTGAACGCTAAGAATCTGTTATTCGATTCTTTAACGACTTCAAGGCGAAAGAAAATCAGGAAGAGGCAAGGAAAGACAAGGCGAGATATAGAAGATATCATCTGTGTTATCAAAGAGACGGATCCCGAAGAATTCCCTGTTTTTGTCGCGCGGGAATTGCACAAATTACCCCCGGTTTTATTTGACCACGTCGATGTAACATGGCTCCTCAAAGACATCGTAAAAATTTAAGCTGAACTAAAATTGATCAAAGAACAATATGTGTCCACTAGCCAGCTTGAGGAGATAAAGATTGATCTAGAATCCCTGAAAAAAACATCGGCTGTAAACCATTTCACTGGCAACGTAAATACTAGACGAGGCGTTTGCTTAATAAATAGTTTTGCCCATGATAGTGGACCTATGGGGTTACATCCCTTACAGGATGTTAACACTACTTCCCCTGTACATGAGTCACCCCCTCAGCAATTACTGGAGTATCAGCCAATGGTAGACACAAATAAATTATTAGTATCAAGACGCAAGAATCAGCGTTTCAAAAATTAGCGGTTGGTGAATCAGCTGGGAGAGAAAAACCTAAAAAGTGAGCAGTACAGAGACGATGACTCATGCGCGGCCATGCTTGATGCAAGCGAGCGATGAACACACGGCCGCAAAGGTAGACTGTTGTACTGCCGTGCCTATGCAACGATCGTTAGCCGATATTGCTCGCGGCGGAGTATGGAGGCAACCGGCTCCTGATGAAAAATGGGTAACAGTGCAACGTAAGAGGCTTTGTAGGAAATATAGGAAAAGCTACCACAGATCCAAATTAAAAGTTCAGAGCAGCGGTTGTCAACACTCCTATTTATATTTATAACGTGTCCAAGGAGGTGTCTGTGTGTGACATAATGAATTACATTGAGAGAAAAGTAAACATAAAGGTGACTATGGAAAAAATGGTTATGAAGGTATCAAAAAGTTATGATGCATACAAGATCTACGTGCCTAACCATAAAGTAGATATATTTTTGAAGGATGATTTTTGTCGTTTTATTAACTTTGGTGAAAAAAGGCTCAGAAATCGTGTGTCTGTCGAGTAATAATATCTCTGGACTATGAATGACACACAAACAGTAAATCTCGTTAGTTTCAATTGCAAGAATGTTATTAGATCGTTAGACTGTGTGAGAAGACTATGTCGCACAGCGGATGTGGTGGCGTTGCAGGAGACAAGGCTCTTGCCTCATGATATTTCATTCCTGGGATCTATAGATTTCGCCTACACAGGTGTGTCCGCAGTGGACACCTCGGCTGGGTTGCTTCGTGGGAGACCGTACGGCGGCGTAGCTCTCCTGTGGAGGAAGAACATGTTTACGTCTGTGTCGGTGATAGCGTGTAGTAGTGTACGGCTTGAGGCAATAAAAATAGTTCTTAAAGAGAGGTCGTTCCTTGTAATGTCGGTGTATATGCCTACCGATTCAACTGAAAATATACCAGAGTTTACCGATTGTCTCAGTGAGGTTAGTGCCATTATAGAGAGCAGTGGCGTTGAATCCGCGTACATACTTGGTGATTTCAATGCACAACCAGGTGAGCGGTTTTGTTATGAACTTATGGACTCTTGTACTGAACAATGTTGGTCTTGTATAGACTTGGACTTGTTGCCGGCGAACACATACACTTTCGTGAGTGATGCACATGCCTGTCCGCGCTGGCTTGACCATTGTATTGTGACGAGTGCCGCTCGGAACACAGTGGCTCATGTGTCTGTCATATATGACACCTTTTGGTCGGATCACTACCCTATTGTAATTAAATTATTAGTATCAAGACGCAAGAATCAGCGTTTCAAAAAGTTTTGAAGGACCTCCCAGGAGAGGATCAGCAAGACCCTCATCTGTTCGAGCACCCTAAGAATCCTAATTTATTGACTTTGCTGGGCATTCAATATCAGCCTGTTCAGGATACCTTTACGTATAGAGTAAAACTTGACCCACCGCCCAAAGCATGGACCAAACGCTTCGTGCTGTCCACCGTAGCCCGCACCTTCGACCCTAATGGGTGGATCACCCCGGTCATCTTTTTAGGCAAGTGCTTTCTTCAAAAGCTCTGGATGTCCGGGTTGGGTTGGGACGAGCCGATTGGCGGAGCCCTCTTGCGAGAGTGGCTCTCCATGCTCTCCTCCCTTCCGGATATCAACCGGGTTTCCATGCCAAGGTACTTCCTTCCCCCCGGGAAATGTCGGGCTACCCTACATGGGTTTTGCGACGCCTCTGAGAAGGGCTATGCTGCTGTCGTATATTTGCGTACGGTGAGTTCCTCTGGTCATACTGCCGCCCGTCTCGTACTCGCTAAAAGCAAGGTTACTCCCATTAGGTCCCGCTTAACTATCCCTAAATTGGAACTGTCCGGCGCCGCTCTCCTCACGCGACTCCTCAACCACGTTCACTCTTCCTTGAAGCCTGTAATCGACATCACGGGCGTCTATGCATGGTCGGACAGTGAGATCGTACTTTGTTGGCTCCGAGCTGCACCTCACAATCTCGAGATCTTTGTGGCGAACCGCGTTTCTCAAATCCAGAGTTCTGAGACTTCTCTCAACTGGCGACATGTCCCAGGGGAGTTAAATCCCGCGGACTGCGCTTCCCGCGGCTGTGAGGCCCCATCGCTGGTTGACCACCCACTGTGGTGGGGTCCCGATTGGTTATCTGGGTCTCAGTCATTTTGGCCCCGGGGCAATTACTCCGAACCTACCGAATTGCCGGGCCTACGAGCCCGAGTCGGAGTGGGCAAGGATAAGCCCACTCGGGATCTCTCTCTTCTGGAACGGTACAGCTCCCTCGATAAGCTCTTGGGAGTTACTGCTTGGTTGCGCCGCTTTGTCCGCAATTCGAGATACCCATCCCACCGACTCTCTGATAGCGTTTTGTCCCCTAGCGAGCGCCGGGAAGCTTTGATGCACTGGACCCGTATGGTCCAAACGGAGCAATTTGAGCCCGTCATTGAAAACTTGAAGCGTGGCTCCGTTATCAAAGGCGCCCTGGCCCGCCTGAACCTCTTTCTGGATAACGCGGGGATGCTGCGCGTTGGCGGACGTTTGAAAAATTCTCAACTGCCGTACGGGGCTCGACACCCGTTGCTGCTCCCGAAGGACGGCGCCCTGGTTCGATCGCTGGTGGCCCACCACCATGTTAAAATGCCCACGCTGGGTGCAACGCTCTTTCGGCTATTTTACAGCGGGAGTTTTGGATTTTGTCTGGCCGACATCTCATCCGGAGCGTCATCTTTAATTGCATACCCTGTTATAAACTGAAGGCCACCATATCGCAGCCCCTCATGGGTGACTTGCCGCCCGACCGCGTCAGGGTCATCCGACCATTTGCTGGAGTCGGAACCGACTTTGCTGGCCCCTTCCTCGTTAAGTCCTCTAACATTCGTAACGCCCGTTCGCATAAGGCCTATCTTTGCGTCTTCGTGTGCCTCTCCACTAAAGCCGTTCACTTGGAACTTGTAAGCGCCCTCAGCACGGAAGCCTTCTTGGCCACGCTTGGCCGTTTCGTATCGCGGCGCGGGTTGCCGGACTTGATCCGGTCGGATTGCGGAACGAATTATAAGGGCACGGATAGGTATCTAAAGGAGGTCGTCGAGTTTCTGTCTAGCCACCGTAGCTATTTAGGCAATGCTATGTCAAAAAGGAGCATCCAGTGGAAATTCGACCCTCCGGCGTGTCCTCACTGGGGCGGTATTTTCGAGGCGGTGGTTAAAGTGGCAAAAACGCATCTCCGTCGCGTTATTGGTGAAGCTATTTTGACATTTGAGGAGCTCGCCACTGTATTCTGTAAAATTGAGGCGGTACTCAACTCTCGGCCCCTCTGCCCCCTCTCCTCCGACCCGAATGATTTGGAGGTTCTAACCCCTGGACACTTCCTGATTGGCCAGCCTCTTAACGCTCTGCCCGAGTACCCCTTCAGGGAAACGAGCGCTTCACGGCTTAGCAGGTTTGCCCTGCTGCAACAGATGACTCAAAGCTTTTGGCGCCGATGGTCCCTGGAGTACCTACATCTTTTGCAGCAGCGCGTTAAGTGGTCTGACAGGACGGAGCCTCCTCGGGTGGGAGACCTCGTGTTGATTAAGGAACCAAACGCTCTACCTTTGTATTGGCGCCGTGGGCGCATTGTTAAATTGTCGTATGGAGCAGATGGGGTACCTAGGGTGGCCGAGGTTTTAGTCGGAGATTCGGTCTTGCAACGTGCCGTCGCGACCTTGTCTCGTTTGCCAATCTACTCGCGGACCTAATGCCTTATGTCCGGGGCGGGGGTTTGTATAGGCAAGAATATTCATTTTGCCTTCGAAACGTATTTAACTCGCGCGCTTGGCCTCGATATCGAGGTCACCTCCCGCTCCCCTTTCCCCCCGGCCGCCCTATGCGGCGGGATAGGACTTTCGAGAGTTAGTGTAGTTTTTCTTGCGAACTAGACTGACGTTTTTTCCGCGCTTAACTTGTTACGAAGGTAGCCACCGTGTAGATCGTTGCGAGATCCTTATCTTTAATCAGGAACTAATAACTACTTTAAATTCATTGTGCAACCTTACAAGTGATTTACCTCTGAAGTGCTAAGTGTAGCTGTCCCATTTCGTGACAAGCCAGGAAGAGCGCCTCCAGAGGGGGAACGCTCCGAAGATACCAGCGCATACCTTCTCCCGGACGGCATTGCGGCATCCAGATCAGGGCCCGTCAACATACACACACATACAATTACACCTACACTCATAACACTACCATCAGCCGGGCCGGTCTCGGAGAAGCCGTAGGCCGTAACAAACTTTTAAAAACTTAACTTGTTAAAAAAATTTGTTACGGCCTACGGCTGCTCTCTTAAAGGATCAGACCATCAGGGGCCCATGAGCTGAAGGCCTCCCGAGCAGACGTAGGTCGGGCTCAATGTGGCCACGTGGAAATTTTCTGGTGGGAGACAAACGAGGGGAATGTTACCACGATAAATGCACTCACCTGCTCCAGGAGCGGAGACGATTCTCCGAGACCGGCCCGGCTGATGGTAGTGTTGTGAGTGTAGGTGTAATTGTATGTGTGTGTATGTTGACGGGCCCTGATCTGGATGCCGCAATGCCGTCCGGGAGAAGGTATGCGCTGGTATCTTCGGAGCGTTCCCCCTCTGGAGGCGCTCTTCCTGGCTTGTCACGAAATGGGACAGCTACACTTAGCACTTCAGAGGTAAATCACTTGTAAGGTTGCACAATGAATTTAAAGTAGTTATTAGTTCCTGATTAAAGATAAGGATCTCGCAACGATCTACACGGTGGCTACCTTCGTAACAAGTTAAGCGCGGAAAAAACGTCAGTCTAGTTCGCAAGAAAAACTACACTAACTCTCGAAAGTCCTATCCCGCCGCATAAGGCGGCCGGGGGGAAAGGGGAGCGGGAGGTGACCTCGATATCGAGGCCAAGCGCGCGAGTTAAATACGTTTCGAAGGCAAAATGAATATTCTTGCCTATACAAACCCCCGCCCCGGACATAAGGCATTAGGTCCGCGAGTAGATTGGCAAACGAGACAAGGTCGCGACGGCACGTTGCAAGACCGAATCTCCGACTAAAACCTCGGCCACCCTAGGTACCCCATCTGCTCCATACGACAATTTAACAATGCGCCCACGGCGCCAATACAAAGGTAGAGCGTTTGGTTCCTTAATCAACACGAGGTCTCCCACCCGAGGAGGCTCCGTCCTGTCAGACCACTTAACGCGCTGCTGCAAAAGATGTAGGTACTCCAGGGACCATCGGCGCCAAAAGCTTTGAGTCATCTGTTGCAGCAGGGCAAACCTGCTAAGCCGTGAAGCGCTCGTTTCCCTGAAGGGGTACTCGGGCAGAGCGTTAAGAGGCTGGCCAATCAGGAAGTGTCCAGGGGTTAGAACCTCCAAATCATTCGGGTCGGAGGAGAGGGGGCAGAGGGGCCGAGAGTTGAGTACCGCCTCAATTTTACAGAATACAGTGGCGAGCTCCTCAAATGTCAAAATAGCTTCACCAATAACGCGACGGAGATGCGTTTTTGCCACTTTAACCACCGCCTCGAAAATACCGCCCCAGTGAGGACACGCCGGAGGGTCGAATTTCCACTGGATGCTCCTTTTTGACATAGCATTGCCTAAATAGCTACGGTGGCTAGACAGAAACTCGACGACCTCCTTTAGATACCTATCCGTGCCCTTATAATTCGTTCCGCAATCCGACCGGATCAAGTCCGGCAACCCGCGCCGCGATACGAAACGGCCAAGCGTGGCCAAGAAGGCTTCCGTGCTGAGGGCGCTTACAAGTTCCAAGTGAACGGCTTTAGTGGAGAGGCACACGAAGACGCAAAGATAGGCCTTATGCGAACGGGCGTTACGAATGTTAGAGGACTTAACGAGGAAGGGGCCAGCAAAGTCGGTTCCGACTCCAGCAAATGGTCGGATGGCCCTGACGCGGTCGGGCGGCAAGTCACCCATGAGGGGCTGCGATATGGTGGCCTTCAGTTTATAACAGGGTATGCAATTAAAGATGACGCTCCGGAAGAGACGTCGGCCAGACAAAATCCAAAACTCCCGCTGTAAAATAGCCGAAAGAGCGTTGCACCCAGCGTGGGCATTTTTAACATGGTGGTGGGCCACCAGCAATCGAACCAGGGCGCCGTCCTTCGGGAGCAGCAACGGGTGTCGAGCCCCGTACGGCAGTTGAGAATTTTTCAAACGTCCGCCAACGCGCAGCATCCCCGCGTTATCCAGAAAGAGGTTCAGGCGGGCCAGGGCGCCTTTGATAACGGAGCCACGCTTCAAGTTTTCAATGACGGGCTCAAATTGCTCCGTTTGGACCATACGGGTCCAGTGCATCAAAGCTTCCCGGCGCTCGCTAGGGGACAAAACGCTATCAGAGAGTCGGTGGGATGGGTATCTCGAATTGCGGACAAAGCGGCGCAACCAAGCAGTAACTCCCAAGAGCTTATCGAGGGAGCTGTACCGTTCCAGAAGAGAGAGATCCCGAGTGGGCTTATCCTTGCCCACTCCGACTCGGGCTCGTAGGCCCGGCAATTCGGTAGGTTCGGAGTAATTGCCCCGGGGCCAAAATGACTGAGACCCAGATAACCAATCGGGACCCCACCACAGTGGGTGGTCAACCAGCGATGGGGCCTCACAGCCGCGGGAATCGCAGTCCGCGGGATTTAACTCCCCTGGGACATGTCGCCAGTTGAGAGAAGTCTCAGAACTCTGGATTTGAGAAACGCGGTTCGCCACAAAGATCTCGAGATTGTGAGGTGCAGCTCGGAGCCAACAAAGTACGATCTCACTGTCCGACCATGCGTAGACGCCCGTGATGTCGATTACAGGCTTCAAGGAAGAGTGAACGTGGTTGAGGAGTCGCGTGAGGAGAGCGGCGCCGGACAGTTCCAATTTAGGGATAGTTAAGCGGGACCTAATGGGAGTAACCTTGCTTTTAGCGAGTACGAGACGGGCGGCAGTATGACCAGAGGAACTCACCGTACGCAAATATACGACAGCAGCATAGCCCTTCTCAGAGGCGTCGCAAAACCCATGTAGGGTAGCCCGACATTTCCCGGGGGGAAGGAAGCACCTTGGCATGGAAACCCGGTTGATATCCGGAAGGGAGGAGAGCATGGAGAGTCACTCTCGTAAGAGGGCTCCGCCAATCGGCTCGTCCCAACCCAACCCGGACATCCAGAGCTTTTGAAGAAAGCACTTGCCTAAAAAGATGACCGGGGTGATCCACCCATTAGGGTCGAAGGTGCGGGCTACGGTGGACAGCACGAAGCGTTCGGTCCATGCTTTGGGCGGTGGGTCAAGTTTTACTCTATACGTAAAGGTATCCTGAACAGGCTGATATTGAATGCCCAGCACAGTCAATAAATTAGGATTCTCAGGGTGCTCGAACAGATGAGGGTCTTGCTGAGCCTCTCCTGGGAGGTCCTTCAAAATATGAGGGGAGTTCGACAACCACTTGCGCAACTCATAGCCTCCAGACTTCAGGATGGCAATTAATTCGTCTCGCAAGACCAGAGCCTCCTCGACGGTGGAAGCGCCCGTACAAATGTCGTCCATGTAGACCGAAGTCTCCAAAATAGAAGCTCCTCGAGCGTATCTCAGGCGCTCTCTCTCCGCGAGTTCAAGGAGGGTTCGCATGGCGATATACGGGCTGGACCGGAGTCCATATGTGGTGGTGTTAAGCTCAAATACCTGTATAGGATCGCTGGGCTTCTCGCGCCACAATATCAGCTGATATCGGCGGTCATCACGATGAACCACTGATTGGCGAAACATCATCCGAATGTCCGCGACAAAAACCACTTGGTGTCGACGGAATTGGGTCAAGATGTCGGATATGCCCTTGATCAGTTTAGGACCCGAGTGAAGACACTGGTTCAGAGACACACCGTTTGATGTGGGGGCGGAACCGTCAAAAACTACCCGAATCTTACTCTCAGGGGTCCTCAAGACCGCATGGTGAGGGAGGAAGTAGTGCTCCTGTGAACGCCATTCGAAGTTGGACGGTGACATGTGACCCAGCGCCTGATACTCGCGCATGAACTCGACATATTTGTCGCGAAAGGCTGGGTCGCGCCGCATGCAGCGCTCCATGGAAAGCAACCTCTTCTCGGCCAGAGCACGAGATTGACCCAAAGAGGGGCTTGAGTCCAGAAAGGGTAAGCGAGTGACGAAACGACCGTCAACCCGCCGGCCGGTATTGTTCTGGTAGAACAACTCACACTCACGGTCCAGAGGGTCGACTCGAGCGGCATGTGGTGGTTCCTCAATTTCCCAGAACCGCTGGACGGCGTCCGATAGAGACACGCCCACGACGGAGAGCGGGTCGGCCGTCGGAGGGGGAGGAGACCACATAACCGGTCCAAAAAAGCTGTGCCCAAATATCGTGGAAATGGCTGACAGGCCATCGGGCTGCAGAGCTCGTATCTCACCTAACAAGAGGACACCCAACGTGTCGGCCCCCAGTAACAAATCTATAGGCCCAGGTTGGGCCCACCGAGGGTCTGCCAGTCTCAAAGCCGACGCACAGCGTACAGCGCTGTCATTTATACGAACGTTAGGGAGGAACCCTACAATGTCGTCGAGGACATTCACCTTGACTAAAATACGAAGGTGTTCGCTGTCAGGGCTGAACACCAACTCCGCTTGTCCCCTAGGAGCAGGAGGCTCGGCACCTCCGATACCTACCATCGGACGTGATTCAGGGCTCCAGGGGAGCCCCAGTCTTCCCACCAACCGAGTAGAGGCCACACTACGTTGGGAACCCGAATCCAATAGAGCTCCAGTTTGTTACGGCCTACGGCTGCTCCCTTAAAGGATCAGACCGTCAGGGGCCCATGAGCTGAAGGCCTCCCGAGCAGACGTAGGTCGGGCTCAATGTGGCCACGTGGAAATTTTCTGATGGAAACAACTGAGGGGAAATGTTACTACGATAAAGGCACTCACCTGCTCCCAGGAGCGGAGACGATTCTCCGAGACCGGCCCGGCGGATGACAGTGTAGTGAGTGTAGGTGTAATTGTATGTGCGTGTATGTTGACGGGCCCTGATCTGGATGCCGCAATGCCGTCCGGGAGAAGGTATGCGCTGGTATCTTCGGAACTTTCCCCCTCTGGAGGCGCTCTTCCTGGTTTGTCACAAAATGGGACAGCTACACGTAGCACTTCAGAGGTAGATCACTAGTATGGTTGCACAATGAATTTAACGGATTTATTAGTTCCTGATTAACGATAAGGATCTCGCAACGATCTACACGGTGGATACTTCCGCAACGAGTTAAGTTTTTTTTTTTTTTTTCGCGTGTGGGTAGGTGTAATAAGTAGATTGCTTTAGTAAAGTCTCCCAATTTAATTAAATTTTTAATATATAAAACATTACAATAGTGTTGTTACTATATGGGAAACTAATGTACTAACCATTATACCTGCCAGGCAGTAAAATCCTTGCTGTTTACAAACTTATTTAGTCAATAAAAATCAGTCTCACAATTTTCCTGCATTATCACTACACAAGATTTTTTCAAAATGGATGCCATTCAAGAGTCAATAACACAACTCCAGAAGATGTTTACTCAGCGCATGGATATCTATCAAAGTGAGCTTCATGCTGCAGCACCTTCAGCCTCCACTGGCAATTTGACATCCGAGTTCTCCTCATTCAGATTATTTATCATGACAGCCCTACGCAATCTTCAAGACCAGGTAGGCCTGTTGATGCACCAGGTGGATAATATAGAGATGCGGAGCAGGCGAAAGATTCTATTACTTCATGGGCTTCCGGAGGAAAAGAACGAGGACACTGTACAGGTAATAGTGAAGACTTTTGTTGACCGTTTCAAGTTGTCTGGTTTCTCGCACAAAGATATATCTCGCTGCCATCGCATGGGCCATACTTCTTCTTCTGACAAACCAAGACCAATCTTGATTAAGTTGTGTGAGTTAGAGGTGAAGAACAAGATCTGGCAAGCTAAGACGTGTTTGAAGGGGACTGGTATCACTTTGTCGGAATTTTTAACTAAGACTCGACATGAAGCCTTTATGGCAGCTCGACGGAAATATGGAATATCGAATTGCTGGACCCGTGAAGGCTTTGTTTTTGTACTGGGTAGCGGTGGCATTCGACATCGCATTAGCTCTGTGATCGAACTCGATAAAATCGTTGAGCCTCCTGTGTCGAAGTCGAAGACAACGACCGCGGTCAGGGAACCAGCTGGAGCTTCCAAAAGTCGACGTTCTGGCACCGCAGGCAAGAAATAGTGTCTTCGCGTTAACTTAGTGTTTAATTACTACAATTTATTTGTATTTTTGTGCAGTCTCCATTTGCATAGTATTGCATCCCTTCAAATTTGTGCTTTAACTGTAACATCGTAGTTCGTAGTTTTCTCTAATATTATTATAGTTTACCTTCGTAATTTTGTTTATTAAGTGACAGAATGATGACATTAGCGATTAAATAAATCATAATGACAGCTAGTAATAGCTGTCATGCTGTCATTCGATTGCATATACTACCAGGCTTTTTGCCAGACAGGATCCATAAATAATATTTGTCTGTTTTATTATTGATGGTAAGACTGTCCTTTTTCTATATTTTTATTATATTAATTAGTCTTAAATAAGTTATGTAATTATAAAATTCTACTGATGCCACTGCCGGCAGGTATGAAAGAAATGTTTAGTTAAGTGCATAATTGTTGGCAATTTAATTTTAATTTTAATTTAATTACTGTTTCATAATATTTCATAACATATTATTATTTATTTTGTAGGTATTATATCCAGACTTATATAATATTTATTTTATTATACATTATACAAGTATATATTTAATCTTTATTGTTTTTGTTGTAGCTTAGTTTCTGTTATAGTTTTGATTAGCATGTGTGATATTTTGGAATTTGATGATAGTTACTTTTCTTGCTCTTCTTCTGGTTCTTCCGATAAGTCCTATAAAAGCGCCTTAAGCGAAGATTCCACTCATTTAAATGATCAACTAGTAGCCGTATTCTGTAATTATAGTAAAAATCTTAATATAGTCCATATTAACGCTCAAAGCATTCATGCTCATTACGCTGACCTTTTATCAACCTTTGATTCTAAATATGTTGATGCCATACTTGTTTCTGAAACTTTTCTAAAACCTGCACTTCCGTCGGTACAGTATTGTCTCCCTGGTTTTCAACTTATACGCAATGACAGGGTCGGCAAAGGTTATGGTGGAGTGGCAATCTATTTGAGAGCTGACATTCCCTATAAAACAGTTGATCATTCACCCAATATTTACTCAAATTTTGCTGAACATTTATTTATTGAAATTACTGTTAATCATTCTAGGACTTTGCTTGGGGTCTATTATCCCCCCTCTCGCAATATAAATTATTTTTCTTCTCTGGAAGAAAAACTTGTGAATCTTACTCCGCTTTATGATAATACCATTATTTTAGGTGACTTTAACACATGCCTGTTAAAGAATGATTTTCGTAGCAAAAAATTGCACTCCCTAGTATCATCTTTTAATTTACATATTCTTCCTCTTTCTGCTACTCACCATTCGCCTAATAGTACCCCTTCTCTTTTAGACCTTATTCTTGTATCTGATGCTGACCGGGTTGCTTCGCATGGTCAACTATCTGCGTCTTTCTCTTACCACGATCTTATCTTCCTCTCCTATAAAATTCAACGTCCTAGGCGCAAATCGAAATTCTTATTCCTAAGAAGCTTTAAATCAATTAACCTGGAGCGCTTGAGAGATGATGTAAATAATATTGACTGGTCCCCTGTTCTAAATCCCAAAAATGTTAATGATAAGGTTTATGCTTTTAATCACCTCATTTTAAAACTCTTCGATACACATGCACCACTTAAGCGAGTCAGGGTTAAACACTTTCCAGCCC